TCAGGAAGGGAGACACTGGGGGAAAGGGGAAGGAGTCATTCGGGTGGGAGACACTGTGGAGGAGAGGGAGGAGGAGTCATTCAGGTAAGGAGACACTGTGGAGGAGAGGGAGGAGGAGTCATTCAGGTAGGGAGACACTGTGGAGGAGAGGGAGGAGGAGTCATTCAGGTAGGGAGACACTGTGGAGGAGAGGGAGGGAGGAGTCATTCAGGTAGGGAGACCACTGTGGAGGAGAGGGAGGAGGAGTCATTCAGGTAGGGAGACACTGTGGAGGAGGGGGAGGAGGGAGTCATTCAGGTAGGGAAACACTGTGGAGGAGAGGGAGGAGGAGTCATTCAGGTAGGGGACATGTGGAGGGAGGGAGGAGGAGTCTTCAGGTAGGGAGACACTGTGGAGGAGAGGGAGGAGGAGTCATTCAGGTAGGGAGACACTGTGGAGGAGTGGGAGGAGGAGTCATTCAAGTAGGGAAACACTGTGGAGGAGAGGGAGGAGGAGTCATTCAGGTAGGGAGACACTGTGGAGGAGAGGGAGGAGGAGTCATTCAGGTAGGGAGACTGTGGAGGAGAGGGAGGAGGAGTCATTCAGGTAGGGAGACTGTGGAGGAGAGGGAGGAGGAGTCCTTTGTAGAAATACTCTACAATGAGCAAAGATTGAGCCTAATCCTAGCTAGACTAAAAAGCATGTCCAATGGATATTCTCCATTGAAAGAGCTTCTTAGTCCATGATTAGGTTTAATCTGTGTCCGGGAAACTGGCCCTGAGACACACAGTATACAGAATTACAATCTACTTACTGATATTGAAGATTATGCATATTCAAAAGTAACATCTCAATATGCATGAATCAAATAATTACTTAATGAGTACATCTGTCTGGGTGTTTAAGGTGATCCCAGGGATTGTTCCAAAGTAATGCAATATTGAACTGTTCAATACCTCAGAACTTTCTGTGAGGCTGAGGTTACAAGGAGTGTAAATGTTTCCTGTGGGCCGGATTGTCTCATGAATGACGTGTTGTTGTGCTGATTGTAGGCTACCGTATGTATTAAATGTTGTAACGCTGTACTGACTACTGCTGCCTTCTTGGCCAGATCTCTCTCGCAAAATAGACTATGTGTCTCAATGGGACTTTCCTGGTTAAATGAAGGTTAAATAAATAAAAAACAAGGGTTACAAAGATCCATGTGTATATTTGACCAGCAGATGGAGCCAGTGCAGAGCTACTCACCATTTACCACGATGGTGAGCAGGCAGTCAAAGAGAGGCTGTAAACGCTGGTGACCGCTGGTGATGATCTTGTGGAACACCTGGAGATCACACAGAGAGGTACAGACATAGAGATATAATTACTAGAAGGGAAAAAGACCCTCAGCTCAGACCACGGCAATTTGACTGGAACACTTATGGGTACACTCAATCGCCCGTCAAGCCACCCATTGGAGAACATTTATTGACTTGAATGTCTGTTTTAGCAATTCTATTTCAAAAGGACCTGGATTTATATAGTATTCGTTTCCATTCAAATGCTTTATCTGCGCTTCATAGATCTCGCCTTGCGCAATGGAACCAATGGGAGAGTCCCAATAGAGCTAACCCTGCCCATTTGGCACTCCAGGCCCAATTACAAATATTTGAAATAAATACTATTTGAATCTAAGTGTGATAAAGACACCAAATTATAACTTGAGAGGCTTTTTAATTAACACATAGAGGCAGATCACAGAAAATGCAATATTGCCTGCAAAATTAATCAATTTGCTACAGTCTACTGTATTCCACAGAGATATATTATATTAATTCTATATCTATGCTGTAGCCTACTGTAATTTGTATGGCAGAGTCTTACTACTATGAGTAGGTCGGCGTGGGTCCCTGTAAATACTGGGATGTCCATAGGTACGTGGACGGAGTAGGGCTTGTTGAGACGCACGCCAAAGTTCCTCTCTCCACTCAGCAGTAGCAGGATAAAGACACCGATGTGCATGAGACCCACACGGGCTGTAGCAGAAACACACGAGCGCACACACGCTCACACACACACACACACTCACACACACACACACACACACACACACGCTCACACACACACACACACACACACACACACACACACACACACACACACGCTCACACACACACACACACACACACAGACACACACACACACACAGAGCGAGAGACAATCACTAAAACCATTAACAAGGCATATGTTAATAAATCAGATATTCACAGCCATTAGCAGATATATAGTATATTCCAGTCCCTACAGACAGATATATAGTATATTCCAGTCCCTACAGACAGATATATAGTATATACCAGTCCCTACAGACAGATATATAGTATATTCCAGTCCCTACAGACAGATATATCATATATTCCAGTCCCTACAGACAGATATATAATATATTCCCTACAAACTTTACTCACACCCTGGCATCATTCAAGTTGAAGAGGATAGGTCTATATGTGTGTGTGTGTGTGTGTGTGTGTGTGTGTGTGTGTGTGTGTGTGTGTGTGTGTGTGTGTGTGTGTGTGTGTGTGTGTGTGTGTGTGTGTGCGTGTGTGCGTGTGTGTGTGTGCGCGTGTGTGCGTGTGTGTCTACAGACTGTACTCACACTGGTCGGCCCTGGCGTCATTAAGATAGAAGAGGATGGGTACCAGGATGTCCAGAACATCACTGCTCTTCAATACAAAGAACAGGAACTTCTGTGATGGGCAGAGAGACAGTGGTATGGGTTATTAGAATGTGATGTGTGTTTGTTTTTCTGTTTAGGGTAGGTTAGTCCTCTATTTTATTTTGACTCTTTAATTAATTTTCAATGAAGATCGTGATCATCTCGGCTACCAAATTTACTGTCAATATTATATTATATATATATATATATATATATATATATACACACCTGTCTTCTACCTGTTGTGTATTCACTGATGATGATTGTGTCAGAAGGTGTATCTAACTAAAATGTTGTTTTTAAAATATAATGTCCCTCAATTGAATACGGTCTGTGTCAAGGGTGCCAGTATTTCAACACAATAACAACCTGTTTGGTTTCCTACTAGCCTGGTCCTAGATCTGTTTGTGCTTTATAGCTAACCACTCCTACAGTATGGTAAGGAATAACACAGATCTGGGATCAGGCTTGTCAGGCTAGTCTCCTACCTTATTATAAAATAATAATACAGTATATAATATATAATATAATACTAGAATAATATACTATAATAATAATTATATATAATATACAATGATAATAATAATATATATAATAATAATAATAATAATACATATATAAACTCTTTCAGAACCCTGTCTTTCAAAAATCTAAATAACTTCACAGATCTTCATTGTAAAGGGTTTAAACCAGGGGTGTCAAACGTCCGGCCCGTGGGCCGGATCAGGCCCGCAAACGGGTTTAATCCGGCCCGCGAGATGATACAAAAAAAAATAAAAAATGTAAAGTATAAAAATGCGCTGCAAATTTTCAATAAAATAAACTGCTGTTCCAATTGCGTCCACTGGATGGCGGAATAGCAATTGTGTTAAGCAAGCAAACTGTTTATACCGGGGCAGAGCAAGTAGGTCAAGCACGTGCAGCCAATGAGCTACTTTGTTTTGCCCGCGATATTTATTACGGCTTCTACTTTTAACATTATGTGCTTTGGCACCCTCATTGCCCCAATATGTCTCTGTCAAAAAAGAGAAAAGTGGACGCAGAGTGCAGAGTGTTCCAAGAAAAATGGTCATCCTATTTATTCACGGAATTGAATGGGAAAGCTGTATGTTTGGTGTGTTCAGAGCATGTTGCAGTGCTGAAAGAATATAACCTTCGTCGCCACTATGTGAGTCTTCATGCCGACAAATATGACAACTTTCAAGGACAGCGGAGATGAGAGAAGGTGAATGAACTGTTACAGATGTTGCACAACTGGCCATTTTCATCCGCGGAGTTGATGACACATTGACCGTCACCGAGGAGTTCGTGGAGTTGGTGCCGATGACAGATACAACGACAGCAGCTGATATTTTTACCGCACTCGTCGGCGCGCTGGACAGGGTCGGAGTGGACTGGTCCCGCGCTGTCAGCCTGGCTACAGATGGTGCGCCCTCAATGATCGGGAAAAAAGCAGGCGTTGTGACAAAGTTCAGAGAGAAAGTGCAATCTGCAAATGGAGGACGTGATTTTTTGACTTTTCACTGTATTTTGCACCAGGAGGCTTTGTGTTGCAAGTCATTAAAGATGGATAACGTCATGAAGGTGGTCATCCAAACTGTTAATTTCATCCGATCCAGAAGCCTGAATCACCGTCAGTTTGACAGCCTTCTCAGAGAGAAAGACCACATCTATGGCCTGCCATACCACACTGAGGTAAGATGGTTAAGCCGAGGTGCTGTGCTGAGGCGTTTCTTTGATTTACGAGAAGAAATTGAACAGTTCATGGAAGAAAAGGGCAAACCAGTGTTAGAATTTCATTCCGCAGAATGGATGCAGGACCTTGCATTTATGGTGGATGTTACAGAGCACCTGAATAACTTGAACAAACAGCTGCAAGGGCGCAACAAAGTTGTCACGCAGTATTATGACAGCATACGTTCTTTCAAGTTGAAGCTGTCATTGTGGGAGACGCAACTTGCCGGTGGTGATGCAGCTCACTTCCCCTGTCTGAAAAATGTGTGCGCGACCCAACATGTGGCAGACATGAAGCGGTTCAAAGATAAAATAACGGGACTGTTACGGGAGTTTGAGCAACGCTTTCAGATTTACAGTGGGGAAAAAAAGTATTTAGTCAGCCACCAATTGTGCAAGTTCTCCCACTTAAAAAGATGAGAGAGGCCTGTAATTTTCATCATAGGTACACGTCAACTATGACAGACAAAATGAGGAAAAGAAATCCAGAAAATCACATTGTAGGATTTTTAATGAATTTATTTGCTAATTATGGTGGAAAATAAGTATTTGGTCACCTACAAACAAGCAAGATTTCTGGCTCTCACAGACCTGTAACTTCTTCTTTAAGAGGCTCCTCTGTCCTCCACTCATTACCTGTATTAATGGCACCTGTTTGAACTTGTTATCAGTATAAAAGACACCTGTCCACAACCTCAAACAGTCACACTCCAAACTCCACTATGGCCAAGACCAAAGAGCTGTCAAAGGACACCAGAAACAAAATTGTAGACCTGCACCAGGCTGGGAAGACTGAATCTGCAATAGGTAAGCAGCTTGGTTTGAAGAAATCAACTGTGGGAGCAATTATTAGGAAATGGAAGACATACAAGACCACTGATAATCTCCCTCGATCTGGGGCTCCACGCAAGATCTCACCCCGTGGGGTCAAAATGATCACAAGAACGGTGAGCAAAAATCCCAGAACCACACGGGGGGACCTAGTGAATGACCTGCAGAGAGCTGGGACCAAAGTAACAAAGCCTACCATCGGTAACACACTACGCCGCCAGGGACTCAAATCCTGCAGTGCCAGACGTGTCCCCCTGCTTAAGCCAGTACATGTCCAGGCCCGTCTGAAGTTTGCTAGAGTGCATTTGGATGATCCAGAAGAGGATTGGGAGAATGTAATATGGTCAGATGAAACCAAAATATAACTTTTTGGTAAAAACTCAACTCGTCGTGTTTGGAGGACAAAGAATGCTGAGTTGCATCCAAAGAACACCATACCTACTGTGAAGCATGGGGGTGGAAACATCATGCTTTGGGGCTGTTTTTCTGCAAAGGGACCAAGACGACTGATCCGTGTAAAGGAAAGAATGAATGGGGCCATGTATCGTGAGATTTTGAGTGAAAACCTCCTTCCATCAGCAAGGGCATTGAAGATGAAACGTGGCTGGGTCTTTCAGCATGACAATGATCCCAAACACACCGCCCGGGCAACGAAGGAGTGGCTTCGTAAGAAGCATTTCAAGGTCCTGGAGTGGCCTAGCCAGTCTCCAGATCTCAACCCCATAGAAAATCTTTGGAGGGAGTTGAAAGTCCGTGTTGCCCAGCGACAGCCCCAAAACATCACTGCTCTAGAGGAGATCTGCATGGAGGAATGGGCCAAAATACCAGCAACAGTGTGTGAAAACCTTGTGAAGACTTACAGAAAACGTTTGACCTGTGTCATTGCCAACAAAGGGTATATAACAAAGTATTGAGAAACTTTTGTTATTGACCAAATACTTATTTTCCACCATAATTTGCAAATAAATTCATAATAAATCCTACAATGTGATTTTCTGGAAAATAATTTCTCATTTTGTCTGTCATAGTTGACATGTACCTATGATGAAAATTACAGGCCTCTCATCTTTTTAAGTGGGAGAACTTGCACAATTGGTGGCTGACTAAATACTTTTTTCCCCCACTGTATGTTTATAGGTTTTTATGTTGATGTGCTATTGTTTTTAATTGATTTTATTTTATTTGTATATTTAACCTATTCTTGACTCTGTGGTTCTTGCACTTGTTTGGGGAACAGGATTTCATTATTTTTATCTACATTTCTGCCTGAGAAATGACACCCTGATATAGTTCTGTGATCTGTGATATACTTCTGTGAATCACTGAGGCATTGTGTGTTTGTGTGTTCTTTGTCCTCAGAACTTTCAAATAACTTGAGGTGTTTTATGATTAATAGTGATGTTGTGCTTTTGGACACTGTCCTCAGGCTCCAGCTTTATGTTTATATGTTTTTATGTTGATGTGCTATTGTTTTTAATTGATTTTATTTGTATATTTAACCTATTCTTGACTCTGTGGTTCTTGCACTTGTTTGGGGAACAGGATTTCATTATTTTTATCTACATTTCTGCCTGAGAAATGACACCCTGATATAGTTCTGTGATCTGTGAAACAGTTCTGTTAATCACTGAGGCATTGTGTGTTTGTGTGTTCTTTTTCTTTAGAATTTTCAAATAAACTTGACGTGTTTTATGATTAATAGTGATGTTGTGCTTGTACTATTTTGGACACACTGTCCTCAGGCTCCAGCTTTATGTTGTATGTTGATCGTATTAAAACAAAGAAAACAATCTGAAGTTGTTGTTTTTAAGTTATATATACCATTATTTTTCCGGTCCGGCCCACTTGGGAATAGATTTTCCTCCATGTGGCCCCTGAGCTAAAATGAGTTTGACACCCCTGGTTTAAACACTGTTTCCCATGCTTGTTCAATGAACCATAAACAATTAATGAACATGCACCTGTGGAACGGTCGTTAAGACACTAACAGCTTACAGACGGTAGGCAATTAAGGTCACAGTTATGAAAACTTAGGACACTAAAGAGGCCTTTCTGCTGACTCTGAAAAACACCAAAAGAAAGATGCCCAGGGTCCCTGCTCATCTGCGTGAATGTGCCTTAGGCATGCTGCAAGGAGGCATGAGGACTGCAGATGTGGCCAGGGCAATAAATTGCAATGTCCGTACTGTGAGACGCCTAAGACAGCACTAATATATAATAATATAATACTATAATATAATATAACAGCACTACAGCACTACAGGGAGACAGGACGGACAGCTGATCGTCTTCGCAGTAGCAGACCACGTGTAACAACACCTGCACAGGATCGGTACATCCGAATATCACAACTGCAGGACAGGTACACGATGGCAACAACAACTGCCCGAATTACACCAGGAACGCACAATCCCTCCATCAGTGCTCAGACTGTCCGCAATAGGCTGAGAGAGGCTGGACTGAGGGCTTGTACATCTGTTGTAAGGCAGGTGCTCACCAGACATCACCGGCAACAACGTCGCCTATTGGCACAAACCCACCGTTGCTGGACCAGACAGGACTGGCAAAAAGTGCTCTTCACTGACGAGTCGCGGTTTTGTCTCACCAGGGGTGATGGTCGGATTCGCATTTATCGTCGAAGGAATGAGCGTTACACCGAGGCCTGTACTCTGGAGCGGGATCGATTTGGAGGTGGAGGGTCCGTCATGGTCTGGGGCGGTGTGTCACAGCATCATCGGACTGAGCTTGTTGTCATTGCAGGCAATCTCAACGCTGTGCGTTACAGGGAAGACATCCTCCTCCCTCATGTGGTACCCTTCCTGCAGGCTCATCCTGACATGACCCTCCAGCATGACAATGCTACCAGCCATACTGCTCGTTCTGTGCGTGATTTCCTGCAAGACAGGAATGTCAGTGTTCTGCCATGGCCAGCGAAGAGCCCGGATATCAATCCCATTGAGCACGTCTGGGACCTGTTGGATCGGAGGGTGAGGGCTAGGGCCATTCCCCCCAGAAATGTCCGGGAACTTGCAGGTGCCTTGGTGGAAGAGTGGGGTAACATCTCACAGCAAGAACTGGCAAATCTGGTGCAGTCCATGAGAAGGAGATGCACTGCAGTACTTAATGCAGCTGGTGGCCACACCAGATACTGACTGTTACTTTTGATTTTGACCCCCACTTTGTTCAGGGACACATTATTCAATTTCTGTTAGTCACATGTCTGTGGAACTTGTTCAGTTTATGTCTCAGTTGTTGAATCTTGTTATGTTCATACAAATATTTACACATGTTAAGTTTGCTGAAAATAAACGCAGTTGACAGTGAGAGGACGTTTCTTTTTTTGCTGAGTTTATATATACAGTACCAGTCAAAAGTTTGGACACACCTACTCATTCTAGGGTTTTTCTTTATTTTACTATTTTCTACATTGTAGAATAATGGTGAACACATCAAAACTATGAAATAACACATATGGAATCATTTAGTAACCCAAAAAGTCAAAAAGTGTTAAACAAATCAAAATATATTTTATATTTGAGATTCTTCAAAGTAGCCACCCTTTGCCCTTGGCATTCTCTCAACCAGCTTCATGAGGTAGTCACCTAGAATGCATTTCAATTAACAAGTATGCCTTGTTAAAAGTTAATTTGTGGAATTTCTTTCCTTCTTAATGCGTTTGAGCCAATCCGTTGTGTTGTGACAAGGTAGGGGTGGTATACTCTAAATTCCAAGCATCTGCCTCTAACCCTTGGAAGCTCTTTGCCACCTTCTCCTCCCTGCTGAATCCTCCTCCTTCTCCCCCCCTCCTCCCTCTCTGTGGATGACTTCGTCAACCATTTTGAAAAGAAGGTTGACGACATCCGATCCTCATTTGTTAAGTCAAATGACACCGCTGGTCCTGCTCACACTGCCCTACCCTATGCTTTGACTTCTTTCTCCCCTCTCTCTCCAGATGAAATCTTGCGACTTGTGACGGCCGGCCGCCCAACAACCTGCCCGCTTGACCCTATCCCCTCCTCTCTTCTTCAGACCATTTCTGGAGACCTTCTCCCTTACCTCACCTCGCTCATTAACTCATCCTTGACCGCTGGCTATGTCCCTTCCGTCTTCAAGAGAGCGAGAGTTGCACCCCTTCTCAAAAAACCTACACTCGATCCCTCCGATGTCAACAACTACAGACCAGTATCCCTTCTTTATTTTCTCTCCAAAACTCTTGAGCGTGCCGTCTTTAGCCAACTCTCTTGCTATCTCTCTCAGAATGACCTTCTTGATCCAAACCAGTCAGGTTTCAAGACTGGTCATTCAACTGAGACTGCTCTTCTCTGTGTCACGGAGGCTCTCCGCACTGCTAAAGCTAACTCTCTCTCCTCTGCTCTCGTCCTTCTAGACCTATCTGCTGCCTTTGATACTGTGAACCATCAGATCCTCCTCTCCACCCTCTCCGAGTTGGGCATCTCCGGCGCGGCTCACTCTTGGATTCCGTCCTACCTGACAGGTCGCTCCTACCAGGTGGCGTGGCGAGAATCTGTCTCCGCACCACGTGCTCTGACCACTGGTGTCCCCCAGGGCTCAGTTCTAGGCCCTCTCCTATTCTCGCTATACACCAAGTCACTTGGCTCTGTCATATCCTCACATGGCCTCTCCTATCATTGCTACGCAGACGACACACAATTAATCTTCTCCTTTCCCCCTTCTGATAACCAGGTGGCGAATCGCATCTCTGCATGTCTGGCAGACATATCAGTGTGGATGATGGATCACCACCTCAAGCTGAACCCCCGGGGAAGGACTGCCCGTTCCATGATCTCGCCATCACGGTTGACAACTCCGTTGTGTCCTCCTCCCAGAGTGCAAAGAGCCTTGGCATGAGCCTGGACAACACCCTGTCGTTCTCCGCTAACATCAAGGCGGTGACCCGATCCTGTAGGTTCATGCTCTACATTCTAACATTCACAGAGTACGACCCTGCCTTACACAGGAAGCGGCACAGGTCCTAATCCAGGCACTTGTCATCTCCCGTCTGGATTACTGCAACTTGCTGTTGGCTGGGCTCCCTGCCTGTGCCATTAAACTCCTACAACTCATCCAGAACGCCGCAGCCCGTCTGGTGTTCAACCTTCCCAAGTTCTCTCACGTCACCCCGCTCCTCCGCACACTCCACTGGCTTCCAGTTGAAGCTCGCATCTGCTACAAGACCATGGTGCTTGCCTACGGAGCTGTGAGGGGAACGGCACCTCCGTACCTTCAGGCTCTGATCAGTCCCTACACCCAAACGAGGGCATTGCGTTCATCCACCTCTGGCCTGCTGGCCCCCCTACCTCTGCGGAAGCACAGTTCCCGCTCAGCCCAGTCAAAACTGTTCGCTGCTCTGGCACCCCAATGGTGGAACAAGCTCCCTCACAACGCCAGGACAGCGGAGTCACTCACCACCTTCCGGAGACACTTGAAACCCCACCTCTTTAAGGAATACCTGGGATAGGATAAAGTAATCCTTCTACCCCCCCTTACCCCACCCCAAAGAAGAAAAATATTGTAAAGTGGTTGTTCCACTGGCTATCATAAGGTGAATGCACCAATTTGTAAGCCGCTCTGGATAAGAGCGTCTGCTAAATGACGAAAATGTAAATGTAAAATGTATACAGAAGATAGCCCTATTTGGTAAAATACCAAGTCCATATTATGGCAAGAACAGCTCAAATAAGCAAAGAAAAACGACAGTCCATCATTACTTTAAGACATGAAGGTCAGTCAATTCGGGAAATTTCTTCAAGTGCATTCGCAAAGAACATCAAGCACTATGATGAAACTGGCTCTCATGAGGACCGCCACAGGAAAGGAAGACCCAGAGTTACCTCTGCTGCAGAGGATACGTTCATTAGAGTTACCAGCCTTTAACACTTTTTTGGTTACTAAATGATTCCATATGTGTTATTTCATAGTTTTGATGTGTTCACCATTATTCTACAACATACAATGTAAAAAATAGTAAAAATAAAGAAAAACCCTTGAATGAGTAGGTGTGTCCAAACTTTTGACTGGTACTGTATATATATATATATATGTTATTATTATATTATATATTACCTTATTGAAGTCACAGAGCTTCCAGAAGAGCACCAGCAGCTCCTGGTGGAACTGTATCTTCTTGGTGGAGTTGGGCAGGTAGGTCTGCATCAAAGGGTTTACCAACAGGCGAGCCAGTCCCTTCAACACAAAGTCGTAGTCCTAGAGAGGGGGTGACACGAGAACCTTGTGTCAACCTTTAGACCACAGGTATTCAAATCTTACTCTACGAGGTCCGGAGTACTGATGGTTTTCTGTTCTACCTGATCATTAATTGCACCCACCTGATGTCCCAGGTCTAAATCAGTCCCTGATTCGAAGGGAAGGATTAAAAAATGCAGTGGAACTGGCTTTGAGGTCCAGATTTAAATTTGAGAGTTTCAGACTAACGTCTTTTCACATAGCAAATCTGCACTTGCAATGTACCATTAGAGAAAGTGTGTAAGCATGATAGAAGAGAGATCTACAAAGTTGTAGTCCTACTGAGGGGGTCACATGACCTTTAGACTAGGGTCAGACCTTTAGACTAGGGTCAGACCTTTAGACTAGGGTCAAACCTTTAGAATAGGGTCAGAATTTTAGACTAGGGTCAGACCTTTAGATTAGGGTCAGACCTTTAGACTAGGGTCAGACCTTTAGACTAGGGGTCAGATCTTTAGACAAGGGTCAGACCTTTAGACTAGGGTCAGACCTTTAGATTAGGGTCAGACCTTTAGACTAGGGTCAAACCTTTAGATTAGGGTCAAACCTTTAGATTAGGGTCAGACCTTTAGACTAGGGTCAAACCTTTAGATTAGGGTCAAACCTTTAGATTAGGGTCAGACCTTTGGACTGGTATTTTTTTATTTCTTTATTTTTCTTCCCAATTGGTAGTTATAGTCTTGTCCCATCGCTGCAACTCCCCTACGGACTCGGGAGTGGCGAATGTCGAGAGCCATGTGTCCTCCGAAACACGACCCTGCCAAGCCGCACTGCTTCTTGACACACTGCTCGCTTAACCTGGAAGCCAGCTGCGCCAGCTGGCGACCGAAGTCAGCTTGCAGGCGCCCGGCCCGCCACAAGGAGTCACTAGAGCGCGATGGGACAAGGAAATCCCGGTCGGCTAAACCCTCCCCTAACCCGGACGACGCTGGGCCAATTGTGCACCGCCTCATGGGTCTCCCGGTCACGGCTGGCTGTGACACAGCCTGGGATTGAACCTGGGTCTGTAGTGATACCTCAAGCACTGCGATGCAGTGCCTTAGACCACTGCACCACTCGGAAGGCCCCCAGACAAGGGTCTTTTGACACGGCATATCTGCACTTGTAATGTAGCCTGGTTAAATGAGACTGAACATAGCTCACAACTAAAACAATGGTTAGCATTCACTCTACATGTAACAATAAAACCAATAAAAGGAGGAAATGTGTGAAAAATATGACAACAAGAAAAATGACTGTACCTCTTCCCTGTGAATTCTTGAAAGGTAGTTTACAAACAGGTTGTCAGGGCCCACATACTGCAGAAAAAGAGAGAGAGAATGTATCAGCAACAACTAAGGGCCATGACAGACCCTTGGTCTCTGAAGGTAAATGCTTAGCACAATGGACCATGACAGGCCCCTGGTCTCTGAAGGTGAATGGTAGCATAATGGATCATGACAGGCCCCTGATCTCTGAAGGTGAATGTTAGCACAATGGATCATGACAGGCCCCTGGTCTCTGAAGGTGAATGTTAGCACAATGGACCATGACAGGCCCCTGGTCTCTGAAGGTGAATGTTAGCACAATGGATCATGACAGGCCCCTGGTCTCTGAAGGTGAATGTTAGCACAATGGATCATGACAGGCCCCTGGTCTCTGAAGGTGAATGTTAGCACAATGGACCATGACAGGCCCCTGGTCTCTGAAGGTGAATGTTAGCACAATGGATCATGACAGGCCCCTGGTCTCTGAAGGTGAATGTTAGCACAATGGATCATGACAGGCCCCTGGTCTCTGAAGGTGAATGTTAGCACAATGTATGTTGAATGAAATGTGATCTGTGGGACTTATCTTTTCTATTGACAGGCAACCACGCACACACACACCATCACCCTCCCCCCTCCCCCTGTACAGAAGGGTCCTGGCCTTACATCCTGGTCCTCCATGCTGGAGGGAGAGGGGGGTCGGTGGGCCAGCCCTCCTCCCTCGTGCTCCAGGGTGACGATGAGGATCTGCACGGCCTGCTCCACCAGCTGCTCACGGTAGTCGGAGAAGAGCAGGTGGTTGTAAGGGATGCCATAGCCCACCGGGTCGTAGGCACACACCACGTTCACCAGGGAGGTGAAGAGAGGCAGGGCATGCCTGAGGTAGGTGGACAGAGGGTAATAATCATTTGTGTCAGTTATTGTTAGGAAAAGATTATGTGGTTTGGTGTGTATGTGTGTGTGGGATTGTGTGTGTGTGTGTGTGGGGGGGGGGGTTGTGTGTGTGTGTGTGTTGGTGTGTTTGGTGTGTGTACATCACCTGTTTTCCTGTGAGGCAGAGAAAGAGCTGACCCAGGGGTTGAGGATTGGATGGGTTGTCTGAGGAGGGAGGGGAGGTACAAGGGCCTCAGAGCAAACAGGTAGCAGCAGCTCCAGCAGCTTCTGTCGCGAGTGGCCCAAGAACATACATGGAAAGAGAGGTTGAACATTGTGGGAGAGAGAAAAGAACAGATAGGAGAGAGAGAGGTGGGAGGGGGGGGGATATAGAGAGAGGGAGAAGAGAGAGGGGGGGAGAGAGAGGAAAAAGGGGGAAGATCTCTCTTTTTCTCGCTTTTCTCTCTCGCTCTTGCTCTACTCTCTCCCCCTCTCTCTACTCTCCTCTCTCTCTCTCTCTCTCTCTCCTCTCTCTCTCCTCTCTCTTCTCTCTCTCTATCTCTCTCCTCTCTCTCTCTATCCTCTTGACTATCTGGTCTCTTCTCTCCTCTCCCCCTCTTCTCTCCCTCCCTCTTCTCTCTCTCGAGCTGAGATGAGATATAGAGATCAGTCTTGCAAGATATCATACAGATCATCAGAGCATCCTCTGTCAACATTAGGACTCTCATCACTGTGTGACTCACCTGTTGAGGTCGTGGATGTAGTTGAGTGGGGGGGACTGGGCGAACCCCACCCCTGCCTCCCAGATGTACTCACAGCTGTCTATGGTCTGCATGTCCTCCACAGAGTCCTGTAGGATGGTGACATCATCATGGGACCATCAATCCCAATAACTACTGGGAGAGAGCTACTACTGCTCCCTACACCATTACATCATTGTTCAGTAATCTGAAACAATGAATACACCATATGAAGCAAACAATGAGTCAGTTGACAATTTCACAGCAAGATCTAACGTGGTCCTGTGTGGCTCAGTTGGTATAGCATGGCTCAGTTGGTAGAGCATGGTGCTTGCGCCACCAGAGTTGTGGGTTAGATTCACGAGGACACCCAAACATAAAATGTATGCACACAAGTAATACATGCATGTTTTAAGCAATGATGTGTATAAACCCTAGATGACTGGCAGGGGGCGCTGTACTGAAGCCACCGCGCAGCCATCTTGGTACTCCTCCTCAATTGTAAAAAAAGATTTTGGAAGCTATAGAAATGCATTTATTAATGTCTACATTCGTTTTTGACACATTTAGTAATGCATACTTTTAAATTATATTTTGTGAGCTAAAGATACAACTTAAAATAAAAAAATATATAAAAACATTTTCCTTAAAGTCTTTTTTTTTTTTTTACTAATGTTACTTTCCCCACTAAAACAAGAAAAACATTAAATACATGTCATTTTGTACTTGAAACATTTAATTGAAATACTGTAGAATTCCATTCATTACTATGGAGGACTGCTCCTACTAGGGAGTGCCAATATGGCCGACCGGTGGCTTCAAAGCCTCTCAATTGCCAATACATAGCATCAGCAATCCAGGGTTTATATACGTCATTGGTTTTAAGTAAAGTGTTACCGCATGGTTTTATTGAATTGCGTGTGTAATGTGTGATGTCCATACCTTTTCAAAAAAGGTTATCCAGTTTATACACACAGGGATAATTACACACATATAAACTTGTAACTATAGTTACAGAACAAGTTTTAGGCAGACATAAGCAGGATATACATGACAGACCTAAAATGCAACACACCTCCTCTTAGCGAGTTTCCCCATAGGTTGCTATGGGCCAAATTCAATTTCAGCTATTAATCAGTGACACAGATAACTGTTTCTGGAGACAGCAGTAAGACAGGTAGCCAGGTCCCAGATCTGTTTGTGCTTTTGCCTACTGCATTGTCATTGTCAAATGTGACAATTTCATAAGAGAGCAGAAACAGACTGGAACCCAGGATACAAGACAGGTACTAGGATCATCTCTGAAATCTCAAGAGACTCGGTTGACAGGTCAGGTGGGGCTGCTGTCTGACTAACACCAGGAAGAAGGAAACAGTCTCTACAACTCTTTCACCTTTCTAGACAGAGAGGAATGCAGGGGGGAACCTTTCAAGCATGGTCTCGTAAATTCCAGACCTAGGGCAACACCACTGTATGCTGTATGCTGTAACATTGGTACATTGGTACATTGTATGAGGCAACCCTACAGCAGAACTAAGCATGAATAAGATACAGTATTTGCCAGAAACAGCCTTGACAGTATTGAAGACAGCTGGTTGGAGATGGATAGAAGTGACATTATGTAAACCTGAAGACGTCCTGCCAGTACAGTGCCTTGCAAAAGTATTCATCCCCCTTGGCGTTTTTCCTATTTTGTTGCATTACAACATGTAATTTAAATGGATTTTATTTGGATTTCATGTAATGGACATACACAAAATAGTCCAAATTGGTGAAGTGAAATGAAAAAAATAACTTGTTTCAAACAATTATAAAAAATAAATATCGAAAAAGTGGTGCGTGCGTATGTATTCATCCCCTTTGCTATGAAGCCCCTAAATAAGATCTGGTGCAACCAATTACCTTCAGAAGTCAAATAATTAGTTAAATAAAGTCCACCTGTGTGCAATCTAAGTGTCACATGATCTCAGTATATATACACCTGTTCTGAAAGGCCCCAGAGTCTGCAACATCACTAAGCAAGGGGCACCACCAAGCAAGCGGCACCATGAAGACCAAGGAGCTCTCCAAACAGGTCAGGGACAAAGATGTGGAGAAGTACAGATCAGGGTTGGGTTATAAAAAAATATCAGAAACTTTGAACATCCCACGGAGCACCATTAAATTCATTATAAAAAAATGGAAAGAATATGGCACCACAACAAACCTGCCAAGAGAGGGCCGCCCACCAAAACTCACAGACCAGGCAAGGAGGGCATTAATCAGAAAGGCAACAAAGAGACCAAAGATAACCCTGAAGGAGCTGCAAAGCTCCACAGTGGAGATTGGAGTATCTGTCCATAGGACCACTTTAAGCCGTACACTCCACAGAGCTGGGCTTTACGAAAGAGTGGCCAGGAAAAAGCCATTGCTTAAAGAAAAAAATAAGCAAACACGTTTGGTGTTCACCAAAAGGCATGTGGGAGACTCCCCAAACATATGGAAGAAGGTACTCTGGTCAGATGAGACTAAAATTGAGCTTTTTGGCCATCAAGGAAAACGCTATGTCTGGCGCAAACTCAACCCAGTGAAGCATGGTGGTGGCAGCATCATACTGTGGGGATGTTTTTCATCAGAATTGAAGGAATGATGGATGGCGCTAAATACAGGGAAATTCTTGAGGGAAACCTGTTTCAGTCTTCCAGAGATTTGAGACTGGGACGGAGGTTCACCATCCAGCAGGACAATGACTCTAAGCATACTGCAAAAGCTACACTCTAGTGGTTTAAGGGGAAACATTTAAATGTCTTGAAATGGCCTAGTCAAAGCCCAGACCTCAATCCAATTGAAAATCTGTGGTACGACTTAAAGATTGCTGTACACCAGCAGAACCCATCCAACTTGAAGGAGCTGGAGCAGTTTTGCCTTGAAGAATGGGCAAAAATCCCAGTGGCTAGATGTGCCAAGCTTATCTGTGAATAGCTAATCAGCCTTGAGCTAGCCTTGAGTCAGGCACATCTCCCGGGTATCTACCTCTCTGTCAACCGGATGGGACCTCCTAGAGTCAACACGGAGCCCTGCCGATCCATCACGACTGGTCTGCCGACGTAATCGTCTGTGGTTTCAACAGGCTTCCCATTGCGACGACCACGAAGATCCATCTGCTAGCCCCGGCCCGCTAGCACATGCAAACTACAACCATGCTTCCTGCTCGCTGTGCTGAAGCACCAATTTGAACTGCTTTCGGACTCACATATTGCTGTTCACTGGACCTTATGATCACTCAGCTGCACAGCTGATGCCTGCTGGACTGTTCCTTTACACAGTACCCTGTCCTGTTTATTCTGTTTAGCCTCAGCCCAAACTTTATCGCCATTACCAGTTGTTGTCTTAGCTCTCTCTAATAACACCTGTGATTGCTTTATGCCTCTCTCCCATGTCAATATGCCTTGCCTATTGCTGTTCCAGTTAGTTCTTATTATACAATTTCACTGTAGAACCCCAAGTCCCTCTCAAACTGCCTCAAATAGTTCCTTTGTTCCACCCCCCATACATGCCGAGACCGATGCTATCTCTTTCATTGTTACCCAATGCCTAGGTTTACCTCCACTGTACTCATATCCTTCCATATCCTTGTCTGTACATAATGCCCTGAATCGTTTCTACAATGCCCGGAAATCTGCCCCCTTTATTCTCTGTACCCAACGCACTAGAAGACCAGTTCTTAAAGCCTTTAGCCGTATCCTTATTCTAGACCTACTCTGTTCCTCTGGTGATGTAGAGGCTAACCCAGGCCCTGCAGCCCCCAGTTTCACTCCTACTCCCCAGGAGCTATCATTTGTTGACTTCTGTAACCGTAAAAGCCTTGGATTTCTGCATGATAATATCAGAAGCCTCCTTCCTAAGTTTGAGTTATTCACTGCGTTAGCACACTCCGCCAACCCTGATGTTCTAGCAGTGTCTGAATCCTGGCTTAGGAAGGACACCAAAAATTCAGAAATGTCCATCCCCAACTACAACATTTTCCGTCTAGATAGAACTGCCAAAGGGGGTAGAGTTGCAATCTACTGTAGAGATAGCCTGCAGAGCTCTATCATACTATCCAGGTCTGTGCCCAAACAGTTTGTGCTTCTACTTCTAAAAATCCACCTTTCCTGAATTAAGTCTCTCACTGTTGCCGCTTGCTACAGACCCCCCTCAGCCCCCAGCTGTGCCCTGGACACCATATGTGAATTGATTGCCCCCCATTTATCCTCAGAGTTCGTATTGCTTGGTGACCTAAATTGGGATATGCTTAACACCCCGGCCATCCTACAATCCAAACTAGATGCCCTCAATCTCACACAAATTATCAACGAACCTACCAGGTACAACCCTAAATCCGTAAACATGGGTACCCTCATAGATATCATCCTGACTAACTTACCCTCTAAATACACCTCCGCTGTCTTCAACCAGGATCTCAGCGATCACTGCCTTATTGCCTGCGTCCGTAACGGGTCCGCGGTCAAACAACCACCCCTCATCACTGTCAAACGCTCCCTAAAACACTTTAGTGAGCAGGCCTTCCTAATTGACCTGGCCCAGGTATCCTGGATGGATATAAATCTCATTCCGTCAGTAGAGGATGCCTGGTTGTTCTTTAAAAGTAATTTCCTCTCAATCTTAAATAAACATGCCCCATTCAAAAAATACAGAACTAAGAACAGATATAGCCCCTGGTTCTCCTCAGACTTGACTGCCCTTGACCAGCACAAAAACATCATGTGGCGTACTGCATTAGCATCAAATAGCCCCCGCGATATGCAACTTTTCAGGGAAGTTAGGAACCAATATACACAAGCAGTTAGGAAAGCAAAGGCTAACATTTTCAAACAGAAATTTGCATCCTGTAGCACTAACTCCAAAAGGTTTTGGGACACTGTAAAGTCCATGGAGAATAAGAGAACTTCCTCCCAGCTGCCCACTGCACTGAGGCTAGGAAACACTATCACCACCGATAAATCTACAATAATCGAGAATTTCAACAAGCATTTTGTTACGGCTGGCCATGCTTTCCACCTGGCTACCACTACCCCGGCCACCAGCTCTGCTGTCACGCCCTGGCTCTGGGGACTCTGAAATGTTGAGCCAGGGTGTGTAGTTTTTGTGTTATATTTTCTATGTTGATGTTCTAGATCGTTTAGATCTATGTTGGCCAGGGTGGTTCCCAATCAGAGGCAGCTGTATCTCGTTGTCTCTGATTGGGGACCATACTTAGGCAGCCTGTTTGGCACTAGTCGGTGTGGGATCTTGTTCCGTTAAGGTTTGTTGTGTGTAACCTAGGACTTCACGTTTCGTTTGTTTGTTGTTTTGTCGTGAGTTAAGTACGTAATAAAAATGTACGCTTATCACGCTGCGCCTTGGTCCGTCTCATCAGTAAACTATCGTGACAGAAGATCCCACCAAAAGAGGACCAAGCAGCGTGTCCAGGAGCAGACAGCCTGGACCTGGGAGGAGATCCTGGACGGGAAGGGATCCTGGACTTGGGAGGAGATTCAGGCCGGAATGGATCGCCGTCCTTGGGAGAAGACAGTGGAGGCGCGCTATAGAGAGGAGCAGCGGCAACGCAGAAGGTGCCGGCCGAGGAGGAAGCCCGAGAGACAGCCCCAAGATAATTTTTTGGGGGGGCTAAAAGGGTGGTTGGCGGAGCCTAGTGTTAGAGCAGAGCCAACTCCCCGTACTCATGCACAGACTGGGCAGGCTCCGTGTTATGCGGAGCTACGTACTGTGGCGCGAGTGTTCCGGCACAGTCCTGTACGTCCTGTGCTAGCACCACGCACGTGTCGTGCGAAGATGGGCCTTCAGCCAGGACGGGGTGGAATGCCCACCCGGCCCCTACCCTGTTGTGTTTGTGTGGCGCTGTCGCAGTCCGCGCCTTTGGGGGGGGGTACTGTCACGCCCTGGCTCTGGGGACTCTGAAATGTTGAGCCAGGGTGTGTAGTTTTTGTGTTATATTTTCTATGTTGATGTTCTAGATCGTTTAGATCTATGTTGGCCAGGGTGGTTCCCAATCAGAGGCAGCTGTATCTCGTTGTCTCTGATTGGGGACCATACTTAGGCAGCCTGTTTGGCACTAGTCGGTGTGGGTTGTTGTTCCGTTAAGGTTTGTTGTGTGTAACCTAGGACTTCACGTTTCGTTTGTTTGTTGTTTTGTCGTGAGTTAAGTATGTAATAAAAATGTACGCTTATCACGCTGCGCCTTGGTCCGTCTCATCAGTAAACGATCGTGACATCTGCACCCTCCGCTGCAACTTGCCCATGCCCCCCCCCCCCCCCCCCCCCACTTCTCCTTCACAGAAATTCAGACAGCTGATGTTCTGAAAGAGCTGCAAAATCTGGACCCCTACAAATCATCTGGGCTAGACAATCTGGACCCTTTCTTTCTAAAACTAGCCGCCGAAATTGTCGCAACCACTATTACTAGCCTGTTCAACCTCTCTTTCAAAACGTCTGAGATCCCCAGAGATTGGAAAGCTGCCGCGGTCATCCCCCTCTTCAAAGGGGGTGACACTCTAGATCCAAACTGTTACAGACCTACAGTGGGGGGAAAAAGTATTTAGTCAGCCACCAATTGTGCAAGTTCTCCCACTTAAAAAGATGAGAGAGGCCTGTAATTTACATCATAGGTACACGTCAACTATGACAGACAAAATTAGGGAAAAAAATCCAGAAAATCACATTGTAGGATTTTTAATGAATTTATTTGTAAATTATGGTGGAAAATAAGTATTTGGTCAATAACAAAAGTTTCTCAATACTTTGTTATATACCCTTTGTTGGCAATGACACAGGTCAAACGTTTTCTGTAAGTCTTCACAAGGTTTTCACACACTGTTGCTGGTATTTTGGCCCATTTTGGGGCTGTCGCTGGGCAACACAGACTTTCAACTCCCTCCAAGGATTTTCTATGGGGTTGAGATCTGAAGACTGGCTAGGCCACTCCAGGACCTTGAAATGCTTCTTACGAAGCCACTCCTTCGTTGCCCGGGCGGTGTGTTTGGGATCATTGTCATGCTGAAAGACCCAGCCACGTTTCATCTTCAATGCCCTTGCTGATGGAAGGAGGTTTTCACTCAAAATCTCACGATACATGGCCCCATTCATTCTTTCCTTTACACGGATCAGTCGTCCTGGTCCCTTTGCAGAAAAACAGCCCCAAAGCATGATGTTTCCATCCCCATGCTTCACAGTAGGTATGGTGTTCTTTGGATGCAACTCAGCATTCTTTGTCCTCCAAACACGACGAGTTGACTTTTTAACCAAAAAGTTATATTTTGGTTTCATCTGACCATATGACATTCTCCCAATCCTCTTCTGGATCATCCAAATGCACTCTAGCAAACTTCAGACGGGCCTGGACATGTACTGGCTTAAGCAGGGGGACACGTCTTGCACTGCAGGATTTGAGTCCCTGGCGGCGTAGTGTGTTACTGATGGTAGGCTTTGTTACTTTGGTCCCAGCTCTCTGCAGGTCATTCACTAGGTCCCCCCATGTGGTTCTGGGATTTTTGCTCACCGTTCTTGTGATCATTTTGACCCCACGGGGTGAGATCTTGCGTGGAGCCCCAGATCGAGGGAGATTATCAGTGGTCTTGTCTGTCTTCCATTTCCTAATAATTGCTCCCACAGTTGATTTCTTCAAACCAAGCTGCTTACCTATTGCAGATTCAGTCTTCCCAGCCTGGTGCAGGTCTACAATTTTGTTTCTGGTGTCCTTTGACAGCTCTTTGGTCTTGGCCATAGTGGAGTTTGGAGTGTGACTGTTTGAGGTTGTGGACAGGTGTCTTTTATACTGATAACAAGTTCAAACAGGTGCCATTAATACAGGTAACGAGTGGAGGACAGAGGAGCCTCTTAAAGAAGAAGTTACAGGTCTGTGAGAGCCAGAAATCTTGCTTGTTTGTAGGTGACCAAATACTTATTTTCCACCATAATTTGCAAATAAATTCATTACAAATCCTACAATGTGATTTTCTGGAGAAAAAAAATCTCAATTTGTCTGTCATTGAAAATTACAGGCCTCTCTCATCTTTTTAAGTGGGAGAACTTGCACAATTGGTGGCTGACTAAATACTTTTTTCCTCCACTGTATACTGACATCATGTGACAGATGATGTGACACTTAAATAAAGTCCACCTGTGTGCAATCTAACTAATTATGTGACTTCTGAAGGTAATTGGTTGCACCAGATCTTATTTAGGTGCTTCATAGCAAAGGGGGTGAATACATATGCACGCACCACTTTTCCGTTATTTATTTTTTTCATTTCACTTCACCAATTTGGACTATTTTGTGTATGTCCATTACATGAAATCCAAATAAAAATCCATTTAAATTACAGGTTGTAATGCAACAAAATAGGAAAAACGCCAAGGGGGATGAATACTTTTGCAAGTTATTTTATTTTACTGCTTCTCTTTACTTTTTTTACTTTTCTTTTTTACTGAACACTTATTTTTCTTAAAACTGCATTGTTGGTTAAGGGCTTGTAAGTAAGCATCTCACTGTAAGGTCTACACCTGTTGTATTCGGCACATGTGGCAAATACAATTTGATTTGATTTGATTTGATGGAGTGCTGCATCAGGTGACCTGGCCTCCACAATCCCTCGACCTCAACCAAATTGAGATGGTTTGAAATGAGTCGGACCACAGAGGGAAGGAAAAGCAGCCAACAAGTGCTCAGCATATGTGGGAACTCCTTCAAGACTGTTGGAAAAGCATTCCAGGTGAAGCTGGTTGAGAGAATGCCAAGAGTGTGCATTTTGTCATCAAGGCAAAGGGTGGCTATTTGAAGAATCTCAAATATAAAATATATTTTGATTTGTTTAACACTTTTTTGGTTACTACATGATTCCATATGTGTTATTTCATAGTTTTGATGTCTTCACTATTATTATACAATGTAGAAAATAGTAAAAATAAAGCAAAATCCTTGAATGAGTAGGTGTTCTAAAACTTTTGACCGGTAGTGTAGAGTTTAAATGTATTCAATTTAGAGTTTGCATCCCAATTTTACACTTTATTAACATCACACAAGATCATTTGACATAGAAACATCGGATATTCATTTTTTTTTTTTCAAATAATGTTTATTAATTATGATTTTATGAAAATTATTAATAACATTCCACCCACGAGGCCACTAGGTCATTTGACTGCAGGAAAGGGCTACGAATACAACCACCCTAAAATGAGTACCACCTATTTCAGTCCACTTCAAGACCTCTTTACTGAGGAATGTGGTTGTTTTTTATGTGTATTTCCTATGCTGCTGTGATAGTGTAATTGTTGTGTAGTTGTTAAGATGGAGGGCTCCCTTGCAAAAGGGACCTTGGTCTCAATGGGACTCCCTGCTAAAATAAAGGTTAAATCAAAATGAATAAGCACTGGATCCGATGAGAGTACTCACAGGTCCTCTCCGGTGGCTGTTCACAGTGAAGTCAGGACAGAAGAGCAGGTCGGCCATGGCCAGGAGCAGAGACTCAGCCAGCGGACGAGCTCCTTCATCATCATCCATCTCATCTGTCTGTTAAGGAGGACGGGGGGGACAGGAGGATGGTGGGGAGGAGGATGGGAGGGAGGGGGGCAGGAGGATGGAGGGGGGCAGGTGGATGGAGGGGGGCAGGAGGATGGGAGGGAGGGAGGCAGGAGGATGGAGGGGGGGGCAGGAGGATGGGGGGCAGGAGGATGGGAGGGAGGGGGGTAGGAGGATGGAGGGGGCAGGAGGATGGGGGGAGGAGGATGGGAGGGAGGGGGGCAGGAGGATGGAGGGGGGGCAGGAGAATGGGGGGGAGGAGGATGGGAGGGAGGGGGGCAGGAGGATGGGGGGAGGAGGATGTGAGGGAGGGGGCAGGAGGATGGAGGGGGGCAGGAGGATGGAGGGGGGCAGGAGGATGGGGGGCAGGAGGATGGGGGGAGGGGGGGAGGAGGATGGAGGGGGGGCAGGAGGATGGAGGGGGGCAGGAGGATGGGGGGGGGGGGGGGCAAACATTAAACCCCTCTACACTTTGTTACCCTCTATAGCAAACATTTCTGAATGTCTAATGAGGAAATAGAGTTCCACTGAACTTTTAGGATGCTATTTCCTCTTATCTTCCCATGTAGGAAGAAACAAATGTTGTAATCAAGAGAGGTAGAACATCCACCTGAGAGATTTGTTTTTCTCTCATCATCATGGTTTATTACTGTGTTGTGTTCATTAGGCAGCAGATGGAAGAAAACTGGCAGGAACTACTTAGACTTGTCCAATAAAAAACTTTTACTTTCGTTTTCCGTTGTGTGTCCAAATGAACACAACCATAGTGTACTATGTGTGAAACATACCATCTACTGGAATGAGGAAACTAATTAGTGAGATGAATGGAGTATTACATTTTTTTTTAATCAACAGAAGCCAATTTCCTCCCACATATCCACCAGTCTCACTTGGCTCCAGTGCAGGGACTACAGACATCTAAGACTCATTCATGTTGAGATTACAAATGAACAGGCTGGTATTTTTACTGCCATCTACCATGAAGCGTTTGTAAAATGGAAGAGTGGGTAGAGTCTGTCTAGCCTGGTCCCAGATCTGTTTGTGCTGCATAGCCAAAAATGACCAAATGCACAAACAGATCTGGGACCAGGCTAGTATCTGTGTCGAATATCGGACAAAACACTGGTGCTTGCAGCAGCTATGTGGATGTTATCCTCAATAAGAGGTTTGGATACACTGATCTGCAGCCATAGGGGATTATCATTTGAGCAACTTTGCTACAGCAGGAACATAAGCCTGCAGCAACAGGGAATGTAAATTATTATGTGGATTATAATTAATGGACATATCTGTAGGGGTTGATAGATTTTTCGTATGGGAAAATTAAGTCTGAAATTTCCAAGTGGAAATTACAAACTTCAGAAGCCTTTTTAAACGACAAATACATTACAAGTTTAAAATGTCCTGCATTGCAAGAAAGTTATTCTGCAACAGGGTGATCAAATTAAGATCTTACATCTGTACTGTAAGTGTATCTCAAACCCTAGCCAACTCTACATACAGTATACTCCTCTTTTTGACTCACACACACCTGCCGCCCACTCAGCCCAGCTCTTCAAGCACCAGGCACAGTGGACCAGAACAACCGCCCACTCCCCACAGCTCTTCCAGCACCAGGCACAGTGGACCAGAAGAAGCCCCTCCACTCACCCCAGCTCTTCCAGCACCAGGCACAGTGGACCAGAAGAAGCCCCTCCAGTCTTGGTCCTCAAAGATGTAGGGCAGGATGCGGGTCAGCATACGACTACAGTTCAGAACGATCTGTTTCTCCTTCTCCGAGGGGCATCCTGACTCTGCTGCCTGCACCAGCTTCTCTACGGCCTGGGGGAGAGATGGCCTGGGTGTTATAAATACAGCCTGAGGGAGAGTTGGCCTGGGTGTTATTGATACAGCCTGGGGGAGAGATGGCCTGGGTGTTATAAATACAGCCTGGGGGAGAGATGGCCTGGGGGAAAGATGCCCTGGGGGAGAGATGGCCTGGGGGAGAGATGGCCTAGGCGTTATAAATATTGGCAATGACTTACACAGACACAGACACGCATGCACACACGCACGCACGCACGCAAACACAGTCACTCATGATCAGATACAGTACACAGAGAAATGACATTAATCTCATCAGCAATGTTTAGTACATTACATTGAGTCATACTAATATTCAATTGATTTGATGATTTAATCTATCTAAATAAATTATATGAATTGATAGTTCACCTCTCTGTTTTATTTTATTCTGTAATAGGGTATATTGTAACCATGTTTTCAAGCTAATCAAATCTAAGTTTATTTATGATACAGCGTAGTGTAAGCTACACAATAAAATTAAATGCCTACTCACAACTAAAGCTTTCCCTCGCAAAGTGCAATGATATTAATCTATATGTATTTGTATTTACATGAAGCTATAAACTACAAATATCTATACCACTTAGTCATAGGCCTATTAGACTATACTGCACATTATTGTTGTTTGTTCCTGAACTGGCCGAATGGCAGAGCTATCCATCAGCTATCCTTCAGCCAATCCTTCAGCTATCCTTCAGCACCACAAGTTGGTTCATCTTCTTTAACATCACTGTGCGATTCTTTCAGCACCACAAACGGTGCTCCAATCGCTTAAATTAACACTCATCAACATCTGTTGCCTACTCATCACATATTATTATTATTATTTTATTATTATTATTATTATTATTAATACAAATAGAAGATGATCACTTCTCACAATGGTGCTCGTTTAGTAAAGTTAGATAAAGCTGAATCAATGTCTTGCAAGATCACATAATGACTAATTAGAATTTTATATAACAGAACCAAATATAATAGTACAGTATAGTAGGCGTATAACGTTACTGTTACACCAAAAACACCTCCTCATTTCTAATGACATTTTAGGATGGTTAGCTGAAGCTGAATAGTCAAAAAAACGTATAATGCGCCAAAACTCAACAGAGCCACTAGGCAGGATATACAGTGCCTTGCAAAAGTATTCATCCCCCTTGGAGTTTTTCCTATTTTGTTGCATTACAACCTGTAATTTAAATGGATTTTTATTTGGATTTCATGTAATGGACATACAAAAAATAGTCCAAATTGGTGAAAAAAAAATAACGGAAACGTGGTGCGTGCATACAGTGGGGAAAAAAAGTATTTAGTCAGCCACCAATTGTGCAAGTTCACCCACTTAAAAAGATGAGAGGCCTGTAATTTTCATCATAGGTACACGTCAACTATGACAGACAAAATGAGAAAAAAAATCCTGAAAATCACATTGTAGGATTTTTAATGAATTTATTTGCAAATTATGGTGGAAAATAAATATTTGTTCAATAACAAAAGTTTCTCAATACTTTGTTATATACCCTTTGTTGGCAATGACAAAGGTCAAACGTTTTCTGTAAGTCTTCACAAGGTTTTCACACACTGTTGCTGGTATTTTGGCCCATTCCTCCATGCAGATCTCCTCTAGAGCAGTGATGTTTTGGGGCTGTCGCTGGGCAACACAGACTTTCAACTCCCTCCAAAGATTTTCTATGGGGTTGAGATCTGGAGACTGGCTAGGCCACTCCAGGACCTTGAAATGCTTCTTACGAAGCCACTCCTTCGTTGCCCGGGCGGTGTGTTTGGGATCATTGTCATGCTGAAAGACCCAGCCACGTTTCACCTTCAATGCCCTTGCTGATGGAAGGAGGTTTTCACTCAAAATCTCACGATACATGGCTCCATTCATTCTTTCCTTTACACGGATCAGTCGTCCTGGTCCCTTTGCAGAAAAACAGCCCCAAAGCATGATGTTTCTACCCCCATGCTTCACAGTAGGTATGGTGTTCTTTGGATGCAACTCAGCATTCTTTGTCCTCCAAACACGACGAGTTGAGTTTTTACCAAAAAGTTATATTTTGGTTTCATCTGACCATATGACATTCTCCCAATCCTCTTCTGGATCATCCAAATGCACTCTAGCAAACTTCAGACGGGCCTGGATATGTACTGGCTTAAGCAGGGGGACACGTCTGGCACTGCAGGATTTGAGTCCCTGGCGGCGTAGTGTGTTACTGATGGTAGGCTTTGTTACTTTGGTCCCAGCTCTCTGCAGGTCATTCACTAGGTCCCCCCGTGTGGTTCTGGGATTTTTGCTCACCGTTCTTGTGATCATTTTGACCCCACTGGGTGAGATCTTGCGTGGAGCCCCAGATCGAGGGAGATTATCAGTGGTCTTGTTTGTCTTCCATTTCCTAATAATTGCTCCCACAGTTGATTTCTTCAAACCAAGCTGCTTACCTATTGCAGATTCAGTCTTCCCAGCCTGGTGCAGGTCTACAATTTTGTTTCTGGTGTCCTTTGACAGCTCTTTGGTCTTGGCCATAGTGGAGTTTGGAGTGTGACTGTTTGAGGTTGTGGACAGGTGTCTTTTATACTGATAACAAGTTCAAACAGGTGCCATTAATACAGGTAACGAGTGGAGGACAGAGGAGCCTCTTAAAGAAAAAGTTACAGGTCTGTGAGAGCCAGAAATCTTGCTTGTTTGTAGGAGACCAAATACTTATTTTCCACCATAATTTGCAAATAAATTCATTACAAATCCTACAATGTGATTTTCTGGAGAAAAAAAATCTCAATTTGTCTGTCATTGTTGACGTGTACCTATGATGAAAATTACAGGCCTCTCTCATCTTTTTAAGTGGGAGAACTTGCACAATTGTTGGCTGACTAAATACTTTTTTTCCCCACTGTATGTATTCACCCCCTTTGCTACGAAGCCCCTAAAAAAGATCTGGTGCAACCAATTACCTTCAGAAGTCACATAATTAGTTAAATAAAATCCAATGTCACATGATCTGTCACATGACCTCAGTATATATACACCTGTTCTGAAAGGCCCCAGAGTCTGCAACACCACTAAGCAAGGGGCACCACCAAGCAAGCGGCACCATGAAGACCAAGGAGCTCTCCAAACAGGTCAGGGACAAAGATGTGGAGAAGTACAGATCAGGGTTGGGTTATAAAAAAATATCATCAGAAACTTTGAACATCCCACGGAGCACCATTACATCCATTATTACAACATTTAAAGAATTAGGCACCAGAACAAACCTGCCAAGAGAGGGCCGCCAACCAAAACTCACGGACGAGACAAGGAGGGCATTAATCAGAGAGGCAACAAAGAGACCAAAGATAACCCTGAAGGAGCTGCAAAGCTCCACAGCGGAGATTGGAGTATCTGTCCATATGACCACTGTAAGCCGTACACTCCACAGAGCTGGGCTTTACGGAAGAGTGGCCAGAAAAAAGCCATTGCTTAAAGAAAAAAAGAAGCAAACACGTTTGCTGTTTGGTGTTCGCCAAAAGGCATGTGGGAGACTCCCCAAACATATGGAAGAAGGTACTCTGGTCAGATGAGACTAAAATTGAGCTTTTTGGCCATCAAGGAAAATGCTATGTCTGGTGCAAACCCAACACTTCTCATCACCCCGAGAACACCATCCCCACAGTGAAGCATGGTGGTGGCAGCATCATGCTGTGGGGATGTTTTTCATTGGCAGGGACTGGGAAACTGGTCAGAATTGAAGGAGTGATGGATGGCGCTAAATACAGGGAAATTCTTTAGGGAAACCTGTTTCAGTCTTCCAGAGATCTGAGACTGGGACGGAGGTTCACCTTTCCAGCAGGACAATGACCCTAAGCATACTGCTAAAGCAACACTCGAGTGGTTTAAGGGGGAACATTTAAATGTCTTCGAATGGCCTAGTCAAAGCCCAGACCTCAATCCAATTGAGAATCTATGGTATGACTTAACAATTGCTGTACACCAGAGGAACCCATCCAACTTGAAGGAGCTGGAGCTGGAGCAGTTTTGCCTTGAAGAATGGGCAAAAATCCCATTGGCTAGATGTGCCAAGCTTATAGAGACATACCCCAAGAGACTTGCAGCTGTAATTGCTGCAAAAGGTGGCTCTACAAAGTATTGACTTCGGGGGGGGGGGGGGGGGGGGGGGGGGGGGGGGGGGGGGTGAATAGTTATGCACGCTCAAGTTTTCTGTTTTTTTGTCTTATTTCTTGTTTGTTTCACAATAAAAAATATTTTGCATCTTCAAAGTGGTAGGCATGTTGTGTAAATCAAATGATCCATACCCCACCCAAGAATCAATTTTAATTCCAGGTTGTAAGGCAACAAAATAGGAAAAATGCCAAGGGGGGTGAATACTTTCGCAAGCCACTGTATGCTTTGATTGAAACAAAATACAATAAAGGCTAATATACTGAACAAAAATATAAACGCAGCATGTAACAATTTCAAAGATTTTACTGAGTTACAGTTAAAATAAGGAAATCAATCAATTGAAATGTCACGCCCTGACCTGGTGAGACTGTTATTCTCTCGGTAGTTTGGTCAGGGTGTGGTTCCCAATCAGAGGCAGCTGTCGCTCGTTGTCTCTGATTGGGGATCATACTTAGGCAGCCAGTTTTCCTGCCTGGGTTGTGGGATCTTGTTTGTGTTTCGGTGTGTTTGGCTTGTTTGTGTATAGCCTTCCGACGTCACGTTTCGTTGCCTTTTGTTGTTTTGTCAGTGTTTATTGTTTTAATAAACATGTATGCATTCCACGCTGCGCCTTGGTCTAATCCGTCTCTCAACGTTCGTGACATGAAATAAATGAATTAGGCCCTAATCTATGGATTTCACATGACTGGAAATACAGATATGCATCTGTTGGTCACAGATGCCTTAAAAACAAGGTAGGAGTGTGGATAGGAGTGTGGATCAGAAAACCAGTCAGTATCTGGTGTGACCACCATTTGCCTCATGTAGCGCGACACAGCTCCTTTGCATAGAGTTGATCAGGCTGTTGATTGTGGCCTGTGGAATGTTGTCCCACTCCTCTTCAATGGCTGTGCGAAGTTGCTGGATATTGTCGGGAACTGGAACACGCTGTCATACACGTCAATACTGGACACGTCGATCCAGAGCATACCAAACATGCTCAATGGGTGACATGTCTGGTGAGTATGCAGGCCATGGAAGAACTGGGACATTTCAGGATCCAGGAATTGTGTACAGATCCTTACGACATGGGGCTGTGCATTATCATGCTGAAAGATGAGGTGATGGCGGCGGATTAATGGCACGACAATGGGCCTCAGGATCTCGTCACGGTATCTCTGAGCATTCCAATTGCCATCGTTAAAATGCAATTGTGATCGTTGTCTGTAGGTTATGCTTGCCCATACCATAACCCCACCGCTTCCATGGGGCACTCTGATCACAATGTTGACATCAGCAAACCGCTCAACCACACGACGCCATACATGTGGCCGGTTGGACATACTACCAAATTCTCTAAAACAATGTTGGAGGCAGCTTATGGTAGAGAAATGAACATTCAATTATCTGGCAACAGCTCTGGTGAACATTCCTGCAGTCAGCATGCCAATTGCACGCTCCCTCAAAACTTGAGACATCTGTGGCATTGTGTTGTGACAAAACTGCACATTTTAGAATGGCCTTTTATTGTCCCCAGCACAAGGTGTGCCTGTGTAATGATCATGCTGTTTAATCAGCTTCTTGATATGCCACACCTGTCAGGTGGATGGATTATCATGGCAAAGGAGGAATGCTCACTAACAGGGATGTAAACAAATGTGTGCTCCCGAGTGGCGCAGTGGTCTAAGGCACTGCATCGCAGTGCTAGCTGTGCCACTAGAGATCCTGGTTCGAATCCAGGCTCTGTCGTAGCCGGCCGCGACCGGGAGACCCATGGGGCGGCGTACAATTGGTCCAGGGTAGGGGAGGGAATGGCCGGCAGGGATGTAGCTCAGTTGGTAGAGCATGGCGTTTGCAACGCCAGGGTTGTGGGTTTGATTCCCACGGGGGGCCAGTATGAAAAATTGTATGCACTAATTGTAAGTCGCTCTGGATAAGAGCGTCTGCTAAATGACAAAAATGTAAAAATGCTCAAAATGTGAGAGAAATAAGCTTTTTGTGTGTATGGAAAATTTCAGGTATCTTTTATTTCAGCTCATGAAACATGGGGCCAACACTTCACATGTTGCGTTCATATTTTTGTTCAGTAGAGTTTGTTAACATCATCTGCTTTAATTCACTCACGAAACAGTAATCCAATAAGATCTAAATGCATATTCCCATGAAACTGATTGAGATTGATCAAATGATTGGCATGCAGATACGGTTTGGATGTTTCACCGGTAAAACGTGAAGAATTCAGGATTGACAGTGATGTTGGCCTATTTTGAAACAGGACAGCGCCAACAGTCTGTCCTGTTCCATTAGAGAACCCCAGCCCCAACAGTAGGTCTGTTTTGTTTCTGATAGGCAGTTTATAAAGGAAGCAGGGAGTCGGAGACGGGAAGGGAGGATGCCTTGCTTCTTTCCTGCATCCAAGAGCAGCGGGCACTGACTCACTGACAGACGCCTCTGCCAGCCAGCCAGCTACTCAATAAAAGCTGCAAAGTTTCATAACAATATCTCTGTGGAATGCACTTGATGTTAGTACAGCTTGCATCCAGTACCTAAAATAAATAGGTTTAGCCTTAGAGTGCGTATCAGAACACTTTGGGCCGGTTTCCCAGACAGATTAAGCCTAGTCCAGGACTAAAAAACATTATCTGTGGAGAATCTCCACTGAAAGAGCTTTTTAGTCCATGAGTATAGCCTTAATCTGTGTCTGGGAAACCTTTCTGGTCAATCTGCTGCAGCCCAGTGCAGTTCCACTTCCATAACATCCTCCTCCTCCTCCTCCTCCTCCTCCTCATCATCATCATTCTACCTTATAGCAGAGAGTTGCCAGATTGGAGGGGGACTCCTCCCGAACAGCTCGGATCTCCGCGGCTGGCACCAGGGCAAAAACATCCTGCACAGTGGTGGCAGTGTCGGCCCAGAACTGGTCCCAGAAGGCATCGTCTGTGGCCTCCACTGGCTGTGGGAAATGCATGTATCTGCTTTTAGACTACGTTTCCCATCACCCATTGGGCTCGTCTGAGGTTGCTCCAATCTGACTAATGATAACCTATTACATTCGGTGTAAAAACAGCATGTATAACAGTGTCATAGAAAGTAATAAGGTAATGTAATGTAATGAATATCGAATCACACAACAAATGCATTCAGTATCAACAAATATATCAATAAGGACACTATAACATAAAGAGGGCTAGAATAATAGAAATAAACATATCATAACATTTTACATTTTAGTCATTTAGCAGACGCTCTTATCCAGAGCGACTTACAGTTAGTGAGTGCATACATTTTTTTCATAGTGGCCCCCCGTGGGAAACGAACCCACAACCCTGGCGTTGCAAGCGCCATGCTCTACCAACTGAGCTACACGGGGCCAGAATAGTGTAACGTCATTCTAATAACTAGGTTGCATCTCAACACATGTTAGAAGATGGGGCAACATGTTGACAATGTAACAACCTATCTCCTCCTAATTGCTGTTAGTCTATACAACAACAGGAAATATGAGCTGTCTCGCTCTAATCTCTGCACATAACAGTGCACCTGCCACATCTGTGGGCGGTAGGAGAAAGGACGCCAACGTGTTATCGGTGATCTATAATAATCCAAATAAAAAATAAAACATCTTAAACAACAAATACTCTATTTGGCTAAACACTGCGCTGCCTGTTTCTCATGTCACCGATGATAAGAACTGCAGAAGGGAGTTATGATCGTGCAGACTGTGAATAGACACTGTCTATTAGACAGCGAACAAGGGGTGTTTAGGCTATGCTATAGGTTTAGGAGCCCACTTTTCATATAATGCAGACACCTAATGCAAAATAGAAAACCCCCAGAATAACAATGGGGCAGAATAATGCATATGAGGGATTTAAAACGGTAGCGTGTCTCTGCTATCATTGCGGGGGATTTGATTATAACCTAACAAAACGCATGATCAAATACGCCAAGCATTTCATGACGTGCGGGAAAAAACATACATTTTTAAACAAATATCTCAATATAGGCCTATGCATTGCAAATCGACGGTCTATATGCAGCCCATATCTTTTGTTTTCCAATAGAGCCCTTATTCTTCCTAGTGATGTACAACAAGCTATTGCGCTCTTTCTGTCATCGTTATTTATACCCATATATTTTCCTATTTCTCAGCGTTAGCCTATAATAAATATTTCAAAGGTACCGACCTGTGTTTTGGTTGTCAGCTGTATCACTGCTTTCCTGAAGTTCAGTTTAGAGTCGGTGTTACCCATTTTGATATTCCTTTATGTGCTACAGCGTTGTTGATGCCATCAAATCTTACTAATCTCGTTCACCTCTTTCCTCCGCTTTTTACGTCACTGGTTGGCTAGCCTTAGACTGGGCTCTCAACTTCCGGGTTCTTCAGAGTACAATAATCACTATGCATAGGCCTATCATAAGGTAAAATGTAAGAAATATTATACAGGGCCCACTTCTACCCGGTATAATAGCATAATATGTTAGGGTTATCTGTTTAAATATATATATTAATGGAATACAATTTATTATACAACAATGCGGGGTTTTATTGTATCCAATCTATTTGATTTAAATCACTGTTAGAATATTGATATAATTGGTTACAATATGCATAATTGTAACAACAAGATATTGTAACATTGTTTCAATCATTGTATCAGTGGCTGTACTGGTTGGAGACTGTACCAGACTGTACTTTAGTAAACAGCGACACCATGTGGTGTCTCTTGCCAACGTTCTGTCTTTACTGCGCAGTCGCAGTGTCATGTAAACAGCAGAGGTTGTCACTGCAGCTTGTAGTGAGGTAGCTAGCTACAGAGATGTTGGGGCGTGGATACCGGTGAAATTGTTGAAATGTAGCTTTCAAGCAATTTATTTGTCTTTCTTTACTACAAAGCGCATTGTCTAGCAGGAGAATCTGACCTGTGAGACAGTTATCTACGCCGAGGATACCTCATTTTGGTCAGTGATTCGAGAAGGCTAACGTTGCTAGCTAGCAAGCTAACGTTAGACAGCATAGTTTGGGTCCTTGCAACGTTGAGCTTCAAAGCTCTAATGTAAGGACGGGTTTCTTTCTCTCACATTGTTTATACTGTACATGTTAGTTAAGGTTAAACTCTTGCTTGCAATTGTCCGTTTACTAGCTAACTTTAGATAGCTATCACCATCTTGCTAGCTTAGTTAGTCTGTCAACAGTCATTTTGCTAGCCATGATTTGACTTCGAAAACAGCAACTATACCATTATCATATTATTGATTTGCTGCTTTGACTGTTTGCTAGTTGCTAGCTAAACAGCAGTTCAAATGTCATGTTTGGGTGAGGTCAGCAAGCGTCTGTTTTTCCTTTATGTTAGTTAGCTAGTTACAGTGGGGAGAACAAGTATTTGATACACTGCCGATTTTGCAGGTTTTCCTACTTACAAAGCATGTAGAGGTCTGTAATTTTTATCATAGGTACACTTCAACTGTGAGGGACGGAATCTAAAACAAAAATCCAGAAAATCACATTGTATGATTTTTAAGTAATTAATTTGCATTTTATTGCATGACATATTTGATCACCTACCAACCAGTAAGAATTCCGGCTCTCACAGACCTGTTAGTTTTTCTTTAAGAAGCCCTCCTGTTCTCCACTCATTACCTGTATTAACTGCACCTGTTTGAACTCGTTACCTGTATAAAAGACACCTGTCCACACACTCAATCAAACAGACTCCAACCTCTCCACAATGGCCAAGACCAGAGAGCTGTGTAAGGACATCAGTGATAAAATTGTAGACCTGCACAAGGCTGGGATGGGCTACAGGACAATAGGCAAGCAGCTTGGCGAGAAGGCAACAACTGTTGGCGCAATTATTAGAAAATGGAAGAAGTTCAAGATGACAGTCAATCACCCTCGGTCTGGGGCTCCATGCAAGATCTCTCCTCGTGGGGGCATCAATGATCATGAGGAAGGCCCAGAACTACACGGCAGGACCTGGTCAATGACCTGAAGAGAGCTGGGACCACCGTCTCAAAGAAAACCATTAGTAACACACTACGCCGTCATGGATTAAAATCCTGCAGCGCACGCAAGGTCCCCCTGCTCGAGCCAGCGCATGTCCAGGCCCGTCTGAAGTTTGCCAATGACCATCTGGATGATCCAGAGGAGGAATGGGAGAAGGTAATGTGGTCTGATGAGACAAAAATAGAGCTTTTTGGTCTAAACTCCACTCGCCGTGTTTGGAGGAAGAAGAAGGATGAGTACAACCCCAAGAACACCATCCCAACCGTGAAGCATGGAGGTGGAAACATCATTCTTTGGGGATGCTTTTCTGCAAAGGGGACAGGACGACTGCACCGTATTGAGGGGAGGATGGATAAGGCCATGTATCGCGAGATCTTGGCCAACAACCTCCTTCCCTCAGTAAGAGCATTGAAGATGGGTCGTGGCTGGGTCTTCCAGCATGACAACGACCCGAAACACACAGCCAGGGCAACTAAGGCGTGGCTCCGTAAGAAGCATCTCAAGGTCCTGGAGTGGCCTAGCCAGTCTCCAGACCTGAACCCAATAGAAAATCTTTGGAGGGAGCTGAAAGTCCGTATTGCCCAGCGACAGCCCCGAAACCTGAAGGATCTGGAGAAGGTCTGTATGGAGGAGTGGGCCAAAATCCCTGCTGCAGTGTGTGCAAACCTGGTCAAGACCTACAGGAAATGTATGATCTCTGTAATTGCAAACAAAGGTTTCTGTACCAAATATTAAGTTCTGCTTTTCTTATGTATCAAATACTTATGTCATGCAATAAAAGGCAAATTAATTACTTAAAAATCATACAATGTGATTTTCTGGATTTTTGTTTTAGATTCCGTCCCTCACAGTTGAAGTGTACCTATGATAAAAATTACAGACCTCTACATGCTTTGTAAGTAGGAAAACCTGCAAAATCGGCAGTGTATCAAATACTTGTTCTCCCCACTGTATATCTTCGACACGCTGGTTTCATGGCACTTAAAATACCAAAATGTATTTTAGCAGGCTTGTAACAACTGTGTGGGACACTCGCTAGATCGCTAATTAGTAGCTTGAATCAAACTGCGTGTAGCCTAGGCAAGAAACTGTGACGGTGAAAAACAACTCGTAACTGCAGCCTAAAGTTATATTGACCATGACACGTAACCAGCTGCAAGGCCTGTCATTAGGACAATACAAATACATGTTAACTGAAAACAGGTGAGTTCGTTGCATTATTTATCTGCATGCAACTTGCACTGTCTGGCATGTATCTTAGATTCTAATGTGTTTGTCTTTCAACCCCTTTTATAAGGAAACGCCAGCAAAGTGGCGCGGAAGAGGAGAATGGCCAGCTGGTGCCTAAGGCCAAAAGGTCGAGCAGAGGAGCTAACCCCCTCTCCCCTGAGCTGGGCCGGGACGCCTGGGACTCGGAGGTACATACGAGCACCAATGACAAGAGACATTACATTTTCAATATCATGTGAACCACCCTCTCTGTCCCCACCTAGTGTCAGCCTACTCTTAGGCATAAGTTCCCTTCCTGTACTTTCACTAACAGTGCCATTGGGCCTACTGCTGTTACACTTGAGACGTGTTGCTAAAATGGAAACGATAGTCAGTCAGCTCTGTCTCTGCTAATGCTTGAATGCCACCATCTCCTCATCCAGTTGTCCAACAGTGAGAGCAGTGGGATCAGCAGTCCGGACCATGCGGTGGGGAGCAGCAGCAGTAGCCAGTGTGCCGTGGACAGCCTCAGTGGGGCCCAACCCTACGCCCCTGGCCCATGCAGTCCCCTCAGCTCAGCTCTCTCCTCAGAGCTAGCTGACCCCACTAACCTGGTCTCGTACCACCAAATCAACCGCATCCTGCGAGAGGCTCACTTTGAGAGTCTGCAGTGCCGAGGCCACCCCAGAGACACATGATGATTCCCCCCATTCCAGCCATGCTTCTCTGGGGCAGGAGAGGACCGACCACAACCTGGGCATGCCCAGAGCATTACATGGTGGATCACTCACTCAGCAGTACTATCCCTCTACATCTCCAGTTTCCATAACATCGCAGCAGCTCTATGCTATCTGCATATCGTTGGATGGAGACTAGCTAGTCCCAGCCTGCTGTAGTATTGAAACTTGGCTAACCATTTAGAATGTAAAAAGAAACCTGTTCATATTGTTGGCAATAATAACTGTTTGATCCCATTGGGAATATCCTGACCTGTGACTCTCTTTGTTGTTCTGGACCAGTCTGGGTTACGTGCTGCATAGTACCAGTCTGGGTTACGTGCTGCATAGTACCAGTCTGGGTTACATGCTGCATAGTACCAGTCTGGGTTACATGCTGCATAGTACCAGTCTGGGTTACGTGCTGCATAGTACCAGTCTGGGTTACATGCTGCATAGTACCAGTCTGGGTTACATGCTGCATAGTACCAGTCTGGGTTACATGCTGCATAGTACCAGTCTGGGTTACATGCTGCATAGTACCAGTCTGGGTTACATGCTGCATAGTACCAGTCTGGGTTACATGCTGCATAGTACCAGTCTGGGTTACATGCTGCATAGTACCAGTCTGGGTTACATGCTGCATAGTACCAGTCTCGGTTACATGCTGCATAGTACCAGTCTCGGTTACATTCTGCATAGTGAGTGATGTTTGACAATATATCCATGTTTTTTGTTGTCCGACGTGAGTTTATGGATGTTTGAGAGTGAAATTGGAGGGGCTGCAGGAATACAACCCAATACTTCTGTAAGGTTAGTCTAGTGGACTTGGTGTCTGTATAGGGTTACTGGGGTTTGGTTATGTATAGGGTTACTGGGGTTTGGTTATGTATAGGTTTACTGGGGTTTTGGTATGTATAGGGTTACTGGGGTTTAGTGTCTGTATAGGGTTACTGGGGTTTAGTGTCTGTATAGGGTTACTGGGGTTTAGTGTCTGTATAGGGTTACTGGGGTTTAGTGTCGGTATAGGGTTACTGGGTTTAGTGTCTGTATAGGGTTACTGGGGTTTAGTGTCGGTATAGGGTTACTGGGTTTAGTGTCGGTATAGGGTTACTGGGTTTAGTGTCTGTATAGGGTTACTGGGGTTTAGTGTCTGTATAGGGTTACTGGGTTTAGTGTCGGTATAGGGTTACTGGGGTTTAGTGACTGTATAGGGTTACTGGGGTTTAGTGTCGGTATAGGGTTACGGGGTTTAGTGTCGGTATAGGGTTACTGGGGTTTAGTGTCGTCGGTATAGGGTTACTGGGGTTTAGTGTCGTCGGTATAGGGTTACTGGGGTTTAGTGTCGTCGGTATAGGGTTACTGGGTTTAGTGTCGGTATAGGGTTACTGGGGTTTAGTGTCTGTATAGGGTTACTGGGGTTTAGTGTCGGTATAGGGTTACTGGGTTTAGTGTCTGTATAGGTTACTGGGTTTGGGTCTATTACTGGGTTTGGGTAGGCTATGAAGTCACATACTGAATGAAATCTGAATGAAATCTGCACTATGTAAGCTACGGTATGCAGGTGTACTGTACGTGAATCAATAACAGTGAGGATTTGTTTGCTTCCACACTTTACAGGGGGCTAACAACCACATGCACTGTAACTATCTAGGGTTTTGTCCATAAAAATCACTTGTTTCATTTTTATTTCATAACGTTTTACTACAGTGTGCCCTACTGAACAGGACCATGGTTCATAGTGCAACTTAATCAGGAATATGTTCACCTACCCCAGTAACGAAGAAGGAACATTGGATCTGACTGAGCATGTATAGAAATGTACTGTACCCTCTGTTTTGTGACCTGCTTGTAGAAGATAAGGTTTTTGGAGGAGCTTTGCACACAGCTCTACTACCCAAACACGTCTTATCAAGAAGACATTCCCTCAGCCCTGACTTGTTAGCAGTATGGTTGAAGCCACTAAAACTGACCTAGCTGCAAAACAAACCCACTTGAATCCAGCTGGATGGTTGCTGTATGATCCAGTCTGAATCCAGCTGGGTGGCTGTGGTATGATCCAGTCTGAATCAAGCTGGATGGTTGCGGTATGATCCAGTCTGAATTCAGCTGGATGGTTGCGGTATGCTCCAGTCTGAATCCAGCTGGATGATTGTGGCATGATCCAGCTGGATGGTTGCGGTATGATCCAGTCTCTGTAAACATCCAGGTATTTCAAGCACTGACCATAAGGCTGTGTGTTTTCTCGGGCCCCTGTCCCCCAAAGTTGGATTCACTGTCCTCTTCGGGGGGGAGGAGCACAACTGTCCCTCTTTCAGTCAAGACTGAGTTTAGTGTTCTATCAGAAAATATTGTTTATTTTTATGATTCTTTTTTTGTATTAAGAATTTGTACATGACATCTTACCTGCCATTGACGTTTTGGATTTGATTTAGTTTTTTTAAATTCACCTACATTTGAAAATAAAGATGTTTTGAAACAAAGGTTTGTGTTGTGTCTTTGTACCTCAGGCTGAATTTTCACTAGAGACGTGGGACATGTCCCCTCGACATTTGAAATGTTTGTCCTATGTTACACTGTATAATTGCATTAAATGAGCTTTATGGGGCAAAAAAATATGCTGGATGAACCTTCAGACCCCTGATATAAGTTGCTCCCCCATCTCAAATCAAAGTTACAACCCTGCTTAAATGTATGCTCTTTTTCCATATAAGGCATAGTCAAGGCTCTAGTCATGTTTTTGAGAAGATGTTGCTCTTAGGAACGCAATCTTTCATCCTAGAAACGGATGTTTGGTAAAATGTTGGATAAAACAATTCATTTGTAGATCTATCAGCCCAGTATGTTTGTATGATAGCTATCCAGACAGTGGTAGTGAATTATAGGATCTGTGACGTCCACCTCCTCCCCTTTTTCCTCCCAATCTGGAATGAATGACTCCCCATGAACTGCAACCCAGCGGTAAATGAGATATGACCTGTGTTAGGCACTGCAACCCAGCGTTAATGAGATATGACCTGTGTTAGGCACTGCAACCCAGCATTAATGAGATATGACCTGTGTTAGGCACTGCAACCCAGCGTTAATGAGATATGACCTGTGTTAGGCACTGCAACCCAGCATTAATGAGATATGACCTGTGTTAGGCAATGCAGCTCAGCGTTAATGAGATATGAGCCGTTAAAGGAGGAGCGGTGAAATATCCCTTTAATTAGTCTGATAGCCATCCTTGCCTTGTCTCAGACCCATTTTAACAGATTACGTACATTAATGCACCCCACGTAACCAGGGCTCCCTCCTACTGGGAGTCTGCATTACCAATGAGCGTCCCTAAAATCTCCCATGCTTCCCAAACATTTTGCAACACAAAATAAAAATGAACATTTCTTATCAGACAAGTCCAGGTAGTCCCTGCTTGGGCCTCATAGGCCACGCCTCTAACTCAAAACAGACATAGGCCTAAGAACGTTGGAACGGGGACAAAAGAGAGAGGTAAGTGTTTCGGCCCTCTTTTTCAACACACAAGATGGCCTCAAGGAGAATTTTGTCCTGGGCGGGAAAGCTCACTTGAGCCTGATTTATCCTTTAGGCCTGGGCCAACCGAAACTATATATTTTAATATTTTATACATTGTTCTTTCCAGCACAGTTCCAACATCTATGGTAAATGGATAACTAGGCCAGCCTAGTTTAGCCTGGCTTGGCATGGTTTGGTTTGATTTGGCCCTATAGTGTGAAATTGAATCAGGCGTTCCATTTCTAAAACAAGCATCACATTCCATTTAAGCTTGGGCTTATCTATTTAGGTGCTAATTAATGTAGGCATGTGGCAAAATGCTCACATCCAGCATCTTGATAAAAAATATATAATAAGTCTCTAATTGAATTGTTGATCCTTATTCAGAAATCAAGGCCTTATTTAGAAAGCAATGACATTTATTTGGACTACGAAAATGATAAGGAGTGTCCTGGCTGATTGCCAGTGTTGTAAATGCGGGCGCATACACATACACACACACTCACGCACAGCACATGGAGGTGGGTGTCCTGTGATGAATGGCTCATATCAGTCATCAAGGACAGAGAGTTAATACTGTCCTTTTCTGGGT